TGGGGGTGGGGGGGTGGGGGTGTGTGTCCTAGTTTTGTGACTTCCTCATTCTGAGAAAAGTGTGACCCAAACTATAGAGAGAACTGCGTGAATAGGACCCAAAGGAGGCTTCTGGCTAGAAGCCTGAAAGACTGGGAACAAATGGAACAGCCTTCCCCCCTTCCAGCCTAGAGACACCCCTTCTTCAGGGATCTAAAATCATTTAACAGGAAGATGAAAAGAATTCAGTTATAAATCATTTAAAATAGCACCTGCTGCAAAACATAAGCTCAATTGTTTTCATTTATTTACTCTCAGTATTCATGCAAAGAGAATCCTGCTTATATTTGGCTCTCCTACAACTTTGCAAAGCTACATTTAATAATACAAAGAAGCAAAACATTTTAATTTTCAGATAAAGTTATCTCTAAAAATATCTTAACAGAATATGCTAGAATATTTCTCCCTTTACTGCATCCTAAGGCAAGATATTTGCAAAGAGCTTTGCAACCCCACCCCCACTCCCAAGAGGGAAGCTGCAGTCCTAATTCTGGTTTTACTCTAAAATGTGGCAGAAGTTGTGTGTATACAGTAAGAAGGCAAGTTCCAAGAGTACTTTTATCATGCCTGACATCCAACTTCCTTACCCACTATGCATATCCATTAGCAAAGCACAACCTAGTTCAATTTAGAATACAGAACTTATTATAATCAATTATCCTGAATACTTACTTGATGTATTTTCTCAATTCTAGATATTATTTCATGGAGTGTCAGTATGCTTAATTACTCTGATTGTCAATAGATTTGTTTTGCCAATGGCAGTTACTGAACTAGGTAAGACCTATTGCTTACTACTCTGAATGAAGAAAAAAATATTCTAAAAGCACCCAAAAGGAAAGTATAACCAAAGATTAAAGGGATCAATATAATTTTTTAAGAGTCCATATGTATAGCTAAAGGCTACATAACAAGAAACAATGCCAGACAGGAGATCCCTTCCTTTGAGTTATTGGCCAGGGTGACCCAAAAGACTCCCAGACAGTAACCCAGCATAGAACTGGGTAAATGAACAGCAGACCCCAATCTTACCTAAGGAATATTGACAACTGATTGCTGCTAGATGAGGAACAGCTGATCTTCCTAAAACAAGGATCTCTAGATAGGCTGACTAGATTCAGCAGATGGACAAGCACTGGGGAATGGCTGGGGGTACAATGACAACACAGTGGACAGTAACAGGGATGACAGAGTATATGGACTTGTGTGTGTGGAGGGTGATGGGTGGGTGCCATTTGGGAAGTGGGTATATAGATGAATAAGATTGTTTGGGATGTTATGTATGATTTATACACAAAAAATCAACAAATATATTTGAGGAGGAAGCATAAAAATTTACTTCATGTTAATTAGTAGAGGTGATAAGCATTACCACTGAAATCTACTTGATGACTTTATAGCCAAGGATCTGAGTATAACCGACTGTGACTAGTAATAATCAGATATATAGAGATTAGAGACACATGTGCAAGCATCTAGGTGTTAGTAGCATTAAAAAGGAATCTGGGGCTGGAGAGATGGCTCAGCGGTTAATAACACTGGTTATTCTTGCCGAAGACCCAGGTTCAAATCCCAGCATCCACATGGAAGCTAACAACTGTCCATAACGCCTGTCCCAGGAGATCTGAGAGCCTCTTCTGACCTCTGTGGGCATTGCATGACATGGGTGCACTTACCTACATGCAGGCAATACATGCATACACATAAAATAAAAATAATAAATAAAATTAAAAAAATTAAAAAATGAGTCTTTCTATAGGAAACATATTTTAAAATGAAATGGCGATCTTTTTTAGAGGTTAAAAACTCATTCAATTCTATGTCTTACCAGGTTTCTCCTGAGTTCAACATTGTATAACTGTATTAAGTCAACTAAAAATTTACAGCCGCTTTTGAAGGAGATGTATCCTTGCACTGGAAATTATTATTGAATATGTTAAAGCTGTAATGAAAAGCTTCTTCTAATCATGTGGCTATTAAATTAAAAAAAAAAAAAGAAGTACCCATTACAGAGAGTCCATTTAAATAGAAGTGAATGTTTTCTAGTTGAAGAGGACATTGAATCTTTGTGTAAAGGCATATACACGGTTCAGGTCAATAGCCTTATTTTAAAAGACTATTTACTTTAATCTAATATAACTAAAATAGTAATGTAAGTCTATCCAGTGATTCAATGAACATTTTAACAATGTCCTAGACACTAGACACTATTCTAATACATTGAATTGCATTCTGAAGACAGGTAAGTCTTTCTGAGCTGACAGAGCTCACACTGGAGTGAACAGCAGCCAGCAGTCAGCAGGTCAAGGTGTCTGTCAGATTCATTTATGCACCAAACTAAATAAACCACATAAGAAATAAAATAGAGAGGCTAACAAGTGCTGCCTTCCTGAGGAAGCTAGTAACTGTGTTCAAAGACAGAAAAGTCGTTGAGGGATCTGAACCTCAGAGATCATGCAGAATCATGCAGCCCTCTTATGGGTTTATAGTGCTCATGTGATTATGGAAGCTGGGTTCCAAGCACTTCAGTGTGAATGCCTGAGAAGCAAGAGATCCAGTGGAATAAGTCCAAAGGCAGAGAAGACCAGGTTGTAGGTCAGAGGCCATCGGGCAGACACAGTGAATTCTTTCTCATGCTGCCTTTAGTTCTATTCAAGCTACTGACAAAGTTATATTCAAACTTCAGACTGACTGAATAAGGTGCACTCATACTGGAGGGAGGGCTGTGATTTACTGTCTCCAGAAGCACCCTCACAGATATATCTCTATATAATATATATAATATATATCCAATATTATAATATCTAATTTTCTTCTTTGCCTCCTTGAGAGAAATTAGTTTGCTAAGTTTCTTGGTTGCAAGTCAAAGGGAGAGTGAGATATATGATGTCTTTTCTTCCAATTCACTATTCACTACAGGCAAAGAGGCTAGTATGGCCACTTTAAAAAGAAAAGTTCCAGAAGCCTAAGACTGATTTTCCTAGTTACAGTCCATAAAAGAGGTTAAGTGGGCAATGTTAATACAAACACTGAGTTATAAGCCTTTCTTTCTTGTAGTATATGAACATGTGTCTTGGCAGTAGGAAACAAACCCTATTGTCGCCTTTGAAAAAGCAAACAGAAAGCAAGTGAACTGGTTTTCTTCTTGAGAGAAGTTAGCTTAGTAAGTTTCTATTTAAGCTGAAGACATTGAGGAAGGGCTGTAATTTACTCTCTAGAAGCACTCTTACAGATATACCTAGAATGTTGCTTAACCAAATATCTAGGTATCCTGTGGTCCAGTCACATTGACGCATTGAACAATCACACCTCTGCTCCTGTTTCCTCATCTAGAAAACTGGGAGAGAAGACTCACCTTAAAACAAAACTAAGACAAATAAAATCCTTAGTACATATAAAATGCTGAGTCACATTTTCTTAGCATATTGTAAGCATTTGATAAACATTAGCTATAAATCTTAATATTGTATCTCAGGAGGAGTATGAAAGTACAAATATTTGAATTGTTAGCATTTTTATTGGATAGTTATATTGAATCTTTGTTTAAAAATGGTTAGTGTAGGACGGGGAAAATGGCTCTGTGGGTAAAGCGCTTGTTGCATAAGACTGAGGACTTGAGTTCAGAATCTCAGAACCCACATAAGAAAAGCCAGTGTGGCAGCAGGTACCTATAAACTTAGCACTGGGTGGCACCAACCAGCCAGTGAATCTAACCCAAACTGTGACCTCCAGGTTCAGGGAAAGACCTTGCCTCAAAAAAAGTAAGGTGGCAACATAATTGAGGTAGACATTCTGAAAACCTTTGGCCTCCACATTGAAACGCATGAGCCAGTGCACCAGCACACATTTGCATCTCTCTCTCTCTCTCTCTCTCTCTCTCTCTCTCATATACATATGCACAAATGATTAGTGTTGATAAGTAAATAACAAAAGGAAAAAGGAAATTTTATAGTTCTTATCAAAATTGTGTCCCTGTTGTTTGTAAAATGTGCTCTTTGCTTCAAAGGTCTTCATGATGTCATGACAAAATATAAATATATAATGTATAAATATTATAGATTCCAACACTTTCAAGAGTTAACCAAATCTATAGCCATGGCACTCAAATTTGACAAAGGTCTTGCCAATGCAGACTGGAACATGGTTGAAAAGGCAATTGAACTTCAAAATCCATATACAGTAAGCATATAATATCTTTCTATTCCATTAGAGTGAATACGATTGCTATTAAATATAAATCAAACCAGGAATATTAATTCACAATTGTTAATGTTTTTAATTTAATGTTAGAGTTTTATTGATAACTCCTTGTTTTCTTAGTAGTGAGAATATCTTAAGAAATTTTGTGGTTCTTGTGTGACAAAGTAGAAGTCACAACTCATTTGAGTATGTAAGAAATATATGCAAATTAAAAAGAGGGTGGCAAATTTCATTATTTCATCTTTCTTTACTGCTGAATAGAACTCGATTGTGTAAATATACCACATTTTTGTTAACCACTTGTCAGTTGAGGGACACTTAGTTTGCTTCCATCTCTTAGCTATTGTGAAAAGAGCAGCAACAAACATGGTTGTACAAGTGTCTATAAAATAGGATAAGTCCTTTGGGTTTATGCCAAGGAGTGGTATAACTAGGTCATACAGTAGGTTCATTTTTAGTTTGTTAAGAGTTCTGCACACTGTTTTCCATAGAGGCAGCACAAGTTTGCAATCCCACCAGCAGTGAATGAGTGTTCCCCTTTCTCCACATCCTCGCCAGCATTTGGTATTATTTGTTCTCTTGAACATAGCCAGCCTGATTGGGCTAAGGTGATACCTTAGGTGGTTTTAGTTTGCATTTCCCTAATTGCTAACAATGTTGAACATTTTTTGAGACATTTCTTAGCCGTCTTTCTTTCTTTGAGAACTCTGTTTAGATCTTTAGCCCATCTTTTAATTGGATCATTTGATTTCTCGATTCTTTGTTTTTTGAGTTCTTTATGTATTCTGGATGTTAAACCTTTGTCAGATGTGTCACTGGTAAAGATGCTTTCCCATTCTGTAGGTCTTAGTTTAATGAGGTCCCACTTGTTGATTGCTGACCTTAATTCCTGAGCAACTTCTGTCCAATTTAGAAAGTCCTTTCCTACACCTATATCTTGTAGGTTACTGTCAATATTTTCTTCTAATAGGTTCAGGGTTTCCAGTTTCACATGGATGTCTTTGATCCATTTGGAGTTGACTTTTGTGCAGGTGAAAGATAAGAATCTAATTTCATTCTTCTACAGGTGGAGATCCAGTTTTGCCAGCACCATTTGTTGAACATGCTGTCTTTCCTCCATTGTGTACTCTTGGCACCTCTGTCAAATATCAGGTGGCTGAAATTACATGTACTCAGGTTTGGACCTTCAATGATGTTCCATTGATACATGTGCCTGTTCTTGTGCCAGTACCATGCTATTTTTATGACTATGGCTCTGTAGTATACTTTGAGATCTGGTATAGTAATCCCCCCCAGCGTTGCTCTTGGTGCTCAGGGCTGCTTTGACTATCTGGGGTCTTTTATGCCTCCATATGAATTTAAGGATGTATTTTTCTAATTCTGTGAAGTATGTCACGGGGTTTTTGATTGGGATTGCATTGAATCTATATATTGCTTTTTAACAATATTAATTCTTCCAATCCATGAGCATGGGAGATCCTTCCATCTCCTGGTGACTTCCTCAATCTCTTTAATGATTTAAAATTTTCATTGTAGTGATCTTTGGTGTGTTTTGTCATATTTATTCCAAGATATTTTAATTTTTTTCTGGCACTTGTGAAAGGGAGAATTTCCCTGTATTCTTTCTCCAGTTGCTTATTATTAGTATATAGAAAGGCTACTGATTTTTGTAGATTGATATTATAACTTCCACTATACTGAAAGTGATGATCAGTTCTAGGAATTTTCTGGTGGAACTTTTGGCATCTCTCTAGGTATAGTATCATATCATCTGCAAAAAGGGATAGTTTGACCTCTTCTTTTTCAATTAGTACTCCTTTAATTTCCTTATCCTGTCTTATTGCTCTAGCAAGAGTTTCAAGCACTATGTGGAGATTGTGGGCATCCTTGCCTGGTTCCTGATTTTAATGGGAATGCTTCCAGTTTTTCTCCATTTAGAATAATATTGGCTGTGGTTTTGTTGTATATAGCTTTAATTATGTTGAGGTATGTTCCTTCCAGTCCAATTCCCTCTAGGACTTTGAACATAAATGCATGCTGAATTTTGTCACTTCTGAAATATTTGTCACATGCTGAATTATTCACTTCTGCATCTATTGAGATGACAATGTGGTTTTTGTCTTTGAGTCCGTTTATATGATTAATGACGTTTATTGGCTTGTGTATATTGAACCATCCGTACATTTCTAGGATAAAGCCTACTTGATTGTGGTGAATGATCTTTTTGATGTGTGTCTGTATGTGGTTTGCAAGTATTTTGTTGAGAATTTTTGCATCTATGTTCATTAAGGATATGGGTCTATAGTTTTCTTTTTTGGTTGTGTCTTTACCCGATTTGGGTATTAGAGTGATGCTGGCTTCATAGAAGGATGTTGGATGTTCTCTATCATTTTAAATAATTTAAATAGTTTTGGTTGGAGGTCTTCTTTAAATGTCTCATAGAATTCTGTAGTAAATCCATCTGGGCCTGGGCTTTTTTTAGTTGGGCGACTTTGTATTACTGTTTCAATTTTTCTTATATGTTATCATTCTGATTAAACTGTTGATCTCTTCTTGGTTTAACTTTGGAGGTTCCCATGATTTCAGACATCCATCCATTTCTTTTACATTTGCAGATTTAGTAGCGTATAGGTTTTTAAAATATTCCCTTATAATGGTTGGATCTTTTGGGTGTCTGTTGTGATGTTTCCCCTTTCATCTCTGATTTTGTTGATTTGGATTTGCTCGTTCTTTCTATTGGTTAACTGTGTTAAGGGTCTGTCTATCTTGTTTAGCTTTTCAAAGAAATTTGAAAATTTGCAGGTAAATGGATGGTTCTAGAACATGTTATACTCAGTGAAGTAACACAGACTCAGAAAAACAAACGACATATGTTCTCCCTCATATGTGGCTCCAAGCACCAAATTATTTTAAAGTCCATGTCCTTTTAATAAGAAGATGCTATACAGCAGTCCCTTCTGCATGAAATAACTACCATCATCATGACTTCAGCTGAGCCTGATCACTAAACATAGTCACAATTGGGCTTGCTGAGGGTTGAGCTCATTCATTAAAGGAGTGCCAAGCAGGGTCACTGGGCCCTCACCTGAGTATCCAGCTACTCTTCCCAGTCAACTATTCTAGCCTTAGAAGACAAAAGAAAAACGAGGAGGAACCTAATTGAGCTTTTGGAAGCCTTTGTTAAGACATTCCAATGGACTCTCATATGAACATTTGAAAATTGCCCTATTCTGACTTTTTTCTAGTTCCCTGTCTAGAACTTGTAATGCTAGTTAGCACCAGTCAAGGATCTTCTTTTCTAGAGTTAAGAGTTATACAATTTGGGAGACTTTTAGATAGACCCACTGAAGGGGGTACCCCAATTGCCTCACCCTGTGTCCCTGTTCAGCATGGAAGAAGCAGAGCAGTCTGTGTCCCAATTCTCTATCAGCTATTTGGGTAACCTCTTCAGATGGTGGTGTGATAAGAATAGGAGGTAGAAATTGGCTAGGCAGTTAGGGTAATAAAGCCCCAAAGAAAAGTAGCCAGTTTCTTGGCTAAAACTCACAATGTCCTTGGGCTGTTAACAACATACTCTGTTCCAAAGGCCAAAAATGTCAAAAATATTTGGGGGCTCTTATCTAATCCTTAAAAGATTTTAGGGTAGCTCTTCAGAGGAGGAAATGTTAGAGTAGCAAAAAGATGAAAGAGTACATGAAGTTATCAGAAAAAAAGTAATGAGGAGATATGGGAGGAGTTGGAGGGGAGGGAGTGGGCATATATGCCTGTATGAAATTCACAATAAATTATTCACAATAAATTCACAATAAAAGATACCATAAAGAGTGAGCTTGTGAAATGCCTACATTTACTAGATCGGGGGTGCAAATAGTCTTATGTTCAGTTATTTTCTCATCATTTGCTTAGGTAATTATGTTTACTAAATACTTGTTACAGCCTAATTTATGGTTATTACCATTTTATAATATAAAATAGAATTCAAGGTCAGCATCATAAATTTATCTGTGAGTGAAATAGCACCTTCTATATCTTAGAGCTACTTTAGAATCTCTCTCATCAGACTTATTCATTTAAAAGTACTCAATATACATTATCCCAGGCTTCATGAGAACATTTCTACAAGAAAAATATTCTCAGCACATGAATCAGTCATGGTTCCCATAAAGGAAATAGAACACTAAACACTCTTCCTTTGCTAAGTCCTATGTCATGTTAGTCTTCACTGTGGTATTTTATCATATAATATGAAGGGCTAGTTTCTGGGAGTATCATGGCTTAGACTCTCTGAAGTAGGACTCTTGCAAGTTCATTCCATATCCACTAAGCCCTGCTTGAAGCTATTAGGTGGGTCTCAGAACCCAGCCCTGTCTATATAAGAACACAACCAGAATTTCTGCATAGACAAGTACCAGTCATTTCCAAGGGTTTCTTCAGTTGTACTCAATCTTGGATTATGTCATTTTGCTGACTCATCTGCATCAGAATCATCTAGAATATTGTCTAAAAATGTTGAGCTCCCAGCTTCCACCTTGGAGATTCTGGTGCAGACTATATGGGTTCCATGCATTTTTAATCCACTACCCATCTGGTCTTGATGCAGAGTCAGTACTGAGGTCACTGTTCCAGCACTTGATTAGTTTCAAAAGTCAGATGACAAAGACTGGCTTGGTCCTCTTTATGATGTACTCAGGGGGTTATTACAGCATTGCAGATGGAGTTCTGCCCTTGGACTCAGAATATCTGATTTATATCCTTGCTTTTAATGAGCTGCATTTTTTGTACGGACTTGAACCTAGAGCCTTGTACATGCTAGTCAAGCACTCTACCACAGAGCTATAGACCAACACTCTTTTCTATTTTCCATTTGTTTTAAAACAAAGTCTCACTAAGTTACATGGAGTGGCCTTGTGAACCCATTTTGTAGCCCATGCAAGCCTTGACCTTAAAATCCTCCTTCCTCAGCCTCCACAGAGCTGGAAATATAGGCCTGTTTTCCTAGGTCTGTTTTGTGATGTTCAGCAAATCATTTTCTCTAAGCTTCAGTTTTTCTCATCGGTAAATTTTCCACATTCCCATCTCTAATTCACGCACACCTTTTATTCAACCACAATGATTCATTGAAACCAGTGGCTGTCAAACTTTTAACTGCAGAAGATGAGTATGTGCATTTCCAACAGTCCCTCAGGTGCTGCCAAGGCTGTTGGAGGACCACACAGGACTACTAGCTCAAAGTGTTATATATGTGGCAGCTTTCAGTCTTTTAATGATGCCTCAGAAAGGTAGAATATAACTTCTTCCCCCACAGCGTGGCAGTTATTTTGTCTCTTCCAGACCTGAGCAAATGGTGAGGATATTTGAGATAATGAGGGAGAATTTCAGCATTTTTCTTACCTAACTAGAGTGAAATTTGCTTGAGGTTTCTGCTAAACAATAAATTAATATTGAATTACCATTTTTTTGCTTCTTTTCATTTGCTTTTACTTAGTTGAACAAAGAAGAAACAACAGAACACCAGAAGTGGAAATGTCCAGACTGTAACAAGGAAATAGATGAAACACTTGACATTGAAGCAATGGAGCTGGCCAACAGGCATCTCCTGTCAGCACAAATAGTGAGTTAAAGTTAGTAGAATTTGTCCATATTTCAACTAAGTCATCAATTTATATTAGCCACAATGTTGCTTGTATGCCCATGTAGCAACAAAGTACATGAACTTTATGAATAATACAATTTTCAGCCTATACATTTTTTAAAGCCTTAAAATGTAATCATCTGGGATTCCCTTTGGCCACCCTCACCAGCAACTCAAAAGAAGGTATCTTCTATCTGGCATTGTTGCTTGTTATGTAGCCTTTAGCTATGCATATGGACTCTTAAGAAATTATATTGACCCCTTTAATCTTTGGTTATACTTTCCTTTTGGGTGTTTAAGGCCATACAATTGGCCCAGATAAATCAATTTATTTTTACTCTTAAGGCTTTTTGAGGATCTGTTCCTCAGGGGTCACATGGACTTGGGAGGAGCCCCTGGCTCCTTTCTTTTACCAGTTCCGCCTATGTGAAGATAAGTCAAAGGTCCTGCTCGATCATGGCTGGCTTTGCTTCGAAGCATGGAGGAAATGATTCCTCTGTGACGACCCTCCTCTTTGTAGACTGGACACTGGTTCAAGTCTATCTCATGGGGTCTCCATGGCCTCCTTGATCAAGAGGACAGGTGACTCACCACAGTTACAGGACATTTTGAGAGATGCTCATAGTCCCCTGGAACTAGTCGACCTAGGAGGGCAAGGAGCAAAAAGTGTCCTTTATGTCCCTCTGACCAAATTAGTATAGGCCTCAAAGTATGTCTGTTAAACATCCAAGAAGGTTAGTTGCACCAGTCTGGTACTTTTAATTACTGTGTGCCATGTAGATAAATCTTGGGCAAAGACCAATTGTTCTCAGATAAACTTTGCCTAGACATGTATTATATTCTTTGATCTGGTTGTATGTATAATTTGTCAGTAGGTTGTTGGACTAATATGGTTCCCTCTGGTTTTTAAAACTAGCTAGGCCTTATTTATCTCTCCCATTTTCACTAAATCTCTCAATAAATGCAGGTAGAGGGCATTGTGCTCTCATTCAAATCTTGGTTAAAAATTAGAGAAATTCTGTTGTGTAGAAGTGAACAAGACTCTGGGAAATTGCTAACTGCTTAGCTCTGGCTTCTAGCCAGATCAGGATCTTGACTGCCAGTTTTCTCACCCTCTCAAAGCATTCATGCTAGACCTTCTTGTTGCATGTGGAACTATCACAAAGGCCTCAACTATCCCAGCAGTTCAGGAGACTAAGCCTTCTGCTTTCTCAAAGTAGAGCTGGGATAGCTGTAAGCAGTGAATGTGCCCTCTTCAATAGTAATCAAGGCAGACAAGTTCCCTTAAAGTCAACTTTCTCCAGAACATAAGTAACTTTAAACATCTGAGGCAGTTCCATAATGGGTGAATGGTATGCACACCTGGTGCTGAATCCCACCCACTCATTTCCTACCTGTGATATCAAATTAAGTGTTACCACCTGCAGGGCAATAATTTCCTCCCACACAGCTAGGTTAACTCCAGGGAAAGTTATGGCTAGCTTGTGCTGATGCTCCAGAGGTCATCGTCATTGAGGTAGATGAACAAAAGCCAGTTTCCCTTGGAATGTCTTTGAGTGGCTTCTAAAGCAAAGGAAGCAAACTTTGTAAGCTAAGTAAGCCAGCAGCCATGAGTACAAAAATGCAGGTCAAAGGAAACAGTGGAACAAGAAAGAGCAGTCAGACCACAATTTCAAATAAAAAGGTTTGGAAACTAGGAAGTAGAGCCAGTCCTGACCTGACAATGGGGTAAGCTGGCTAACCCTGCTTGACTCCTTTTAACTGTAATAACTTCTCCTTTTCATTAGGAAAACAGAAAGGAAAGTTTGCAGAAATTGGCCTATAAGACTACAAAAAAAAAATGACAATAATGGAAACAACATACAACTTGCTGTGACATGGTTAAGGAACTGGAAATCACTTTTCTATTTTTTTTTTGCAAAAGCCTCCAAATCAGAGCATTTAATACAACAGAATTAAAAAAATAGAATATGAATGTCACATTATAGAAATATCACCTACTTGTACAATTACATAATCTATATCTATCCAAATGTGCTATGTGTGGAGTATTACTCTCAAACCTGGTAAAGCAGACTATTTTCAAACTACTTCCAAAATGTTTATGCTCAGTGTTCCGTGTTACATACAGAGCTGTCATCCACTTCCCGCTAAAATACACAGCCTATTCTGACTATCCCCTGAAGCCCAAACCTCAGCTTCCACCTCCTCTCACTAGAATGGACCAGTTGGCCATGTGTCCTCCTTTGTGCATTTTCCCTGCTACTTCTGCACAAATACAGATGTGCATTTTATCTTGTTCGTTGCTTACTCCACATCGCCACAAAGCTCAGCCTCTCTGGTGATGTGCTTACCACACAGTTTTGTAATCAGTCTTCTATCTAGACCCCCAAAGGCTCTCCATGGTCACCACCACAACCTGTTTCTGGCCCCATTCCTATTGTCACACAAATTTCGTGCATGTACACACACAGACATGCACACAGACAGACAGACACACACAGTGTTTGCCCAGGGTTAAAAACTGTATGTCATTTTACTTAATATTTGTTTTGTAAATTTTGTTATTAGTTTTTACCTTTTAACACAGTTCATTTTCCTTCCTAGGCAAATCTAGTAAAGCTAGTAATACCCTGAAGACTGTGGTTCATGAATATATATATATATATATATTCATTTCATATAAACTTGTCTATTCAGTGAGCAGCACAATGTGTGGAGCATAGTCAGTGCTCAGTGTTTCCTCAGTGAACCATCTGAACAATGTAGTATTTACAGGAACAAGAAGCTGCTGTTTTAGCATCTCAAGGTTCTTTGTTGTCTTTTGCTGTTTTAGATACAGGGCCCTGCCTACCATGTCTTCTTTCCTTTTGTCTGGAATATACACTGCTTTTCCTTTATTTCTGTCTGTTTGGGCAGGTTAAATATATATCTCTCATAAGTTCAATATTTCAAAACAGTTTTGTTACTTTCTCTTTATTTCAGTTTTTAATTTTATATTTTTCTTCTAACAATCATGCTAATTAGTTACTTTGTAAACAAGCCTTTTACAGATAGACATTCTTAGACATGCATCCTTCAAAAGGTTGATATTTGTCACTGATATCACCAGTGCCTAACCAGACTGTACAATTTACCTCTAATGGTTTAGCAGTCAGGCATGCCCAACCTTTTGACATTGCAAAATGGCATTAGTATTTACAAAGTTCACATTCAAAAACCATGCAATCAAGTTACAAAAAAATCACAGACACAAAGAAAATCTCACAATGTTCTAAGTAAGTTTACAAATTTATGCTGGGCTACAGTTAGCGTCATCCTCAGCTGCATGCATCTGTATGCGGCCTTCAAACAGCAGGTTTGACATCCCTGTAGCTAGGGTTTCTATACACTAATTTAGAAAAAGCAATTGATTACTAGATTTCTAAAGAATTTTTTTCAACCTAAAAAAATAAAAGTTGTACCCGATTAGTGATATAGTCATATAAAAACAATGGAGTGAAACACATAAAATTAATATTTATGGAATTAAATGTAGCCTTTTTCCTGCTTATATATTTGAAGAGTAATGTTTATTTCCTTGTAGTTTAAAGTTTCTTAAAGGTTAGAAAGTCATTTGCACATTTTAATTGATTTCAGGGAAATGTGGTATCCAAGAACCATCTAAACAAACGCAGGAGACACTGCTTGCTGTCCTGCTTTCACTGTTATTTGTGTGACTGGGACTGTTCTGTTTATTCTTTATTTTCCCCCAGGTACAAAAGAGGGGACTTAGCTGACAGCGTGACCTCTTCAGTTCTGTTTATCACAGTCTAGGCTTTCTGTGATACCAGCCCCTGAACCTTTCTGAAATCTTGCCTCAAATGTTTCTTGTCTGCTATAACATCTCTGTTGGTATTTTGCTTCTGTGCTATGTATTTTCTCAATCAGGAAATCTAATTTTTCAAAGTAAGTTTGATCTGCTCAACTCACTCCATGTGGTTCTAGTCTGTCTTCATCTTAGCTCACTTTTTATGTTTATTGTCCTTTGTTGACTGCATTTCTGCAATCTCAAGTCTAAGGCTCACAGCTACCAACAGTGGTAATAACTGGTCTATTACAGTCTTCAAAGCTTTAAGCCTCAGTCTAGTCTAGGTAACTGAGATGATATAGTCTCTACTATTGTATATGGCTGCTGAGAGAGCCCAACAGAACATGGTATTTTGTAATGGAGACAGGAAGACAAACCTCAAATTCAGACAAATGGAGTCTCTAATGTTATCCTGGGAAAGCTCTTAATTCTCTCTCTCTCTCTCTCTCTCTCTCTCTCTCTCTCTCTCTCTCTCTCCTCTCTTCATGTCTGTGAAACATTGATTAGAATAGCTTCTTCATAAAATTATTACAAAAATGCAAAGCGCATATAGACCAGTTAATTCAACCACAATTACTTGAATTAACTGTTTTCAAAATTCTTCTTTCATTCTGGCAAGAATGATCATTTAACAACTTAGATTTTTCCTGTCTAACCACTTTGCCACTCGTGTTTCTAGGCTCTTGTGGATCCATTTCATTTTTTCCTACTATTTTTAAGAACAATGAAAATATTTTAATCTTCTGTTGTTTTATAAGTACTTTGATGCCGTTTAAGAAAAAGCATTCTATTGAATCCCTGTTATTATAGACAAATAAAATTTTTAAATTGTGTGGCAGATTAGGCATGGGCTTCTTGTATGTTGGATAAGTGCTTGACCCCAACTATAAGGAGCTTTTTAATTCCACATCCTCAGAGTTAGTTTATTTTTCTTTCCAGCATCCTTCAAGAATAAAACTGTTGTAACATTGATAAGTGATTGAGCAGAGAGAATGCCTGCTTGGAACCCAGGAATCCATGATCATTGAATCCGTTATCCAAGTTTAGAAGGTTGGGCTATCTAGTGATTCTCAACCACGTTCAGCACACTCATTCCAGGCCCCTAGGGCATAAGATGGTGGTTCCCACAGTGTCAAACATAGTCCCTGAAGCGGGGGAGATTTCCAATAAATGTAGTTTTTTTTGTTTTTTTTTTGTTTTTTTGCAGAACACTGAAAGTTCCTTTATCTTCCTAATAGACTGTAAAAAGCATTCTGTTGGCTAATGTTTGAGAACATTGAATTGAATAAAGATGCAAACTGAGATCCTTGTAATCCTTTAGGATTTCCAACAGCCTTATATGATAGGAATACAGTTTGCAACAATTCACAGAGCTATGACTATGCTTTGGATACCTGGTTAAGGACAATTTCCTGCAGACCCAGCTTATTCCACCCAAAGTCCAGATTTAAGTTCTGTGCTAACCTAGTGGGTCTGGCATCTATAGAAAGATTCTGTTCTCAAGCATACTGTAAATTTGGGGTATTTGGGCTATTTTTTTTCACAGATTACTTTTCTGTAAAGGTGGTAATAAGTTTCCACTGTGTCCACAGTATATAATAATTGAATCAACATTTCTTTTAGGCAAGCTACCAACGACAATACAGGGATGAGATTCTGACCCAGAGCACATTGCAGGTCTTAGTAGGTGCTGCAGGAAGTTCTGGAGAGAAGGGAGAGTAAGTATGTTGTCAAGAGCAGGCTTCTGTCTAAAGGTATTGCATTTTTTTTTTTTTTTTTTTTTTTTTGGTGGAGGTTAGTGTGTGGGCGTTCACCTTGGTTCATCTGGCAATACATTCACAAACCTCTCCCTGCTCTGTACCCCACACTCAAGCCAAATCGCCTACTTTGAGTTTCTTAAACTTGCTATACTCTTTCAGGCAGGTTTCTTCAGATGGAAATAATCTTCCCTTTCCCTCTTTTTTTAAGTTTTTTTTGTTCCCCCATCTGCAAAGCTAAACTGTGGTGCACTGCTTTTCCTTGTGACTATATGAATACAGGACCAAGGGTGTGTGAAAACACTCCTTAAACACCACAGGCACATCTACCCACTGCATAGGTAGATCCTCCCACATGCTCTGTTAATACCCAGCATGCATGTGTAATTGTCTAATGATTCCCTTAAATGAGAGTCTCTACCATAGAGCAGTGGCTTTCCCAGAGCTGGTGTGTCGGGGAGTATCCACGCAGAGTACAGAAGGACTCTGATTGGGAGAAGTAAACCACAATAGAGTTGCCACAGTGTCCAGGCAAAGTAAACACACCTTTCAGTTCTAGACCTCACTCTCGATGCCAAAGAAACTCAAATCTTCAACTGAAATGAGCCTGAACCCGTTTCAGAGTCTGCTTAGGTCTATACCACAGGCTCATCATCCCATACACAAGGCTGGACTATAGTGTGGACTATGTACCTAAATGTAATATGCCAGCCTTGTGTTCACTCACTTGTACCAGCTTGTACAGAAGAATAAAGCTGTGTGAGTGTCCAGAAATTGCAGCATAGTTACACTGCAATTCGAGAGCAGATCTTCCAAGAGTCTAAGACTGTTCATTTCCAGCCTATTCCTGCAATCACTGTGACAACCTTGTGTGTCCAGCTAGGAAGACAGAACATACATTATTTAAAATTCAAGCTGCTGGGGATGGAGAGGTGGCTCTGCATTAAGAGCACGATACTTCTCCTCCAGAAGACCTGGATTTGAATCCCTACACCCATACATGGTGCCTAACAACTGTTCATAACTCCACTTCTAGGGGATCTGATGCCCTCTTCTGACCTCTGTGGGCATTGCCCAGCATGGGTGCACTTACATACATGCAGGCATAACTTTCTCAAGTAAAGTAATACTTACAGACATGTAGACAATACACTCATACACATTCTTATACTCACATAAAATAAAACAAAAATACCAAAATAAAATAAAATTCAGGATTCTTGATTTATAATGTTTAAATATTTCCATATATAATACAAGGCTGGGGTGGCAGTAGAATGCCACATTATAGCAATGCCAGAATAAAGACAGCCTGACCCTTCACACACATGTTAGCTAAAAAGGGACCTGAACTGCTCTGAGAACCTGCTCCTTCAGATCTCTCCCAGAACTGTCCTCTTGAAGCAAGGTCTAACTTTGTCTTTTATCAAAACAGCATGTCCAACATGAAATGGGGAAGGAAAAAGAAGAAGAATTTTGCTTATTGGGGATTCTACCCTCGACCCCTACTTACCTAGAATAGCTCACACAAGTTCAAACAGATGTTCTCAATAGAATACCACCTATTGTTTGCAGCACAAATGATATAATTATCTTGTTGCTTTCAAGCAACATCCTCTGCTTGCAGCACTTACTATGCAAAACATATACACGCATTCATGCATTTCTCCAGGTCAAAGGCACGGAAGGGTCATGAAAGATTAAAGTCATATGCTCAAGGTCTAGTAAGTTTGTTTTACATTATAGGCAAGCTGAGATAGTATTAAATGATCTCAAACATAAGATGAATGTTTTGGTCGCAAGGTTAGGTAAAAGTCATTTGTCCAGAGCATGTCCATATTGTACAAGTCATTCCCACACAAGAGCCTCCATTTGCCCTCTAAATTCAGATCTTTCGAATGCTTAGATGATCTCTGTAGATTGAAGGAGTTTGGAGAAAAAGGCTGGGCAATGTACTAATTCGAAACAATACAATGTTGTCTTTAAAGAAGACAGATGTACAATACGTAGTGGATCCTTTTAAATGAATGAATAAATGCTACCATACAAATCACTGTCATTACATTGTTTAGGAAGGGCAACATAAGAAAAATAAAGTAACCTAGAGCAGTTCAGCCCACTGCCTTGAATTTTTCCCCTTTAAATTAAGCACAAAGGCAGAAGCAATATATGTTTATGAGAAGCCAGGGTGAAGTCACACCTAGAGAGTGTCATAGGGCCCAGGGGCATGGGCACAAACAGTTGAAGGACTCAAGTGGACAGTATATGACTTTTTAATATATGACTTTTTATTCAGCATGTAGGAAGCATAAGTTCAATGTCAATATTTAAGCCATGTGCCAGGCACTACAGGGAGTATCAAGGCTAGCACCATGTGTTCCCTGAACTCCTAGAGAACTACTGATTACACTTGCATTCAGTACTTGCTTCTTTGTTTGGCTTCCTGGGAATTGATTTTGCTATACCCAGCTCATTCCAACCATTAACTCCACACGTTTGGGTTTCCTGTGGCAAGAAAACCAAGTCTAAAAATCTCAGATATGGATGGTTTATACAAGGGGTGCCAGAACTTATGCAAAATGCCTACGCAGCTGCCTGAGAAATATACTTGGAAAACATAATTTATTCTTATTTAGTGCTGTGTCAGGCATGTTTCTGAACACTTACCATGAATTATCCACTTTTATTCCATAAACTTCCGTGAGAGAATTGCTTTAATTATCTTTGTGCTATAGACACTGAAAATGAAACAGAGAGATTAAGTAATTTACCCAAGGTCATTTGTCTGATGAATTACAGAGCTGGAACAAAAAGCCAGGATGCTTCACTATCCAGCCAGAAAGATCATGCTCGTTCCCTAAGTCAGGTCTAAAGTGAACACATTTGTGTGAAATAGTAATTTAAGATCCTGAATTGCTTAGTAATTTGGGCTGTACATGATCACACACTGATATCAAAGAATTTTGGGGGTAATAGGAATCTGTAAAATTGCCAGATCATAATTGAGACATTTATTCCTTCAGCAAGGTTTCTGAATTCTCCAGAACTCTGTTACCTGAACTCTTAGGTAGAGACTGTTCTCTTACATATTATCTCTGTGATACTTCTTTATAGTAGTGATGTGTTTCATCCCAATGATCTGCTGGAGCCATAAGGACAGAGACCAGTATTTCTTCATGGTTTATGCATAGCACATAGCAAGAAAAGTAGATTTCAATAAATATTTGCAATTTTTAGGTGAATCAGATTGTATAGGCATTCAATATATTTCGTGTAATTATTATGTTGAATCTTGAAGAGCTGAATGGTTCGTTCTTATGTTAATTATATAATTCCATTAATATACCTATAGCAGAAAACTATACACATTTAAGAGTAAGGAGATATAATCAAGAGAAAGGACAAAATCAGCCATTGAACTTGGGTTTCCAGTGTCCTTCCATTAACCAACATGGTAAGATAGAGCTAGAGACTCACTGTCTTTCTAATAAAAACAATGAGAGAACCTGGTCAGCAGCTCATAAATTCCTTATAAAACTAAGACACCTGGCCTTGCTCACTGCTCCCAGATCTGAGCTACTTCAACATAAAAGTCAAAAGAAATCTACAAGCAATTTCTGGTAAGTGCTACCAAAATGTCTTTCAGTCTTTTGTGACATTGACGTCTCCAGGTTAACATTTTACCCTTCTACAGTCGGTTGAACTTGACTGCTTGACTTGAAAGTGAAATAACAGATACAGAAACATGTGTGAGGTGGACTAGATACTTTATGCTTTCTCATTTAACTATCCCACGCGGACATAGCTATGTTCACCTCCGTGAACAAGTGTGTTAGTGAATTTCTTCATTACCAGACAATGGAGGATCCAAAATGAAAACCTGTAAATATCTGAATGTCAAATATTTTAACCATAGTAGACGTTTTCTCTGTGATCCTTGACTTTTCTAACACCTACTTGTATCCCCAATTATTTTCATGCTTTTAATGAGTTGGTCTTGCAACTTAAACTCATTATCACATGTCTAATGTGTCTTCAGTTCATGACCTGAAGCTGTACTATGAAAATGTCTCTAGTCATCATTGCACGAATGTTTCCTGCTGTCTGGCAATATTATAAGGAACTTATCTCAAAATGTAATGATTTCTTTTTTTCAGATATATGAGTCCTGAGACTCTAAAGACATATTCTGAAAGTAAAAAATTCCTTTCCTTCATTAGAGAATTACTGCTCGATTGGGCCTATAATACTAAAAAGGATAAAGTGGTTCCATCAAAGTAAGTACTCCAGAAACAAGAAATATGACA